GTCTTCATCGCTTGGAGTTGATTTTCCTGAAATGTTAGTACACACTAGAGCAAAAAACAAATCTTTCAAAAAAGTGTTAGGAGATATATAAAACAATAATATTTGAAATCATCAAAACAATACAAGTTGCAAGAATGTAAAACATGCAAATAGCAACTCTCTCTACATCAAAATGTGCAAAATATATGATGCAAAGATTTTAGTTTTTAATGATTTATATAATAAATCAGATACTAAGGAAGGCGAAAGATATATGTATAAGTACTCAAATAAAATGATATGAGTAATAAGTATTTGGTACAAGTGAAGTGCATTAAGTGTGAAAATCAAAAAGTACTTTTTATTTGAAGAAGATATTCACCAAAGGTGGATGAGATATTTTTTTCAAACTTTTCAATGAATATTATGAGAATATGATTGAACTTAAATGAAAATAAAGATTTTTATTTTTTATCGGAGCATTAGTAAAACTAAAATTAGAGAGGCTTTAAAGAAAATAAAGTGTTGAAAAGTTGTTGGACCTGATGATATTCCAATAGACGTGTGGAAATGCTTAGGAGATGTAGGAATTTCTTAGCTTACAGAATTTTTTAAAATTATTTTGATCTCTAAAAAGATGTCAGATGAGTGGAGAATGAGTGTGTTGATTCATATTTTTAAGAATATAATTATAGATGAATTAAGTTAATATGTCATACTTTATAACTTTGGGAGAGATTATGGAGCATATGTTATAATGTGATACTAATGTTTCTCAAAATCAATTTGGATTCATGCTGTGTAGGTCTACTATGGAAGATATTCATTTATTGAGAGGTTTGATGGAGAAGCATATAGAGAATAAGGAGGATCTTCATATGATATTTATTGATTTAGAGAAAGCATATGATGAAGTTCCAAGAGAAGTGTTATGAAAAGTTTTAGAAAAGAAAGGAGTTAATAATGCTTATATTCAAGTCAATTGGGATTTGTATGCAGGAACTATTTCTTGTGTTCAAACAGAAGGTGATCTAACCAAGCATTTTCCTATTTCTGTCGGATTACACCAAGGATTAGCCTTAAGCCCATATCTTTTTGCTTTAGTTATGGATGTTCTCACTAGACATTTTCAAGAGGTTATACCTTGGTGTATGATTTTTGTTGATTATATTATTCTTGTTGATAAGACTAGAAAGAGAGATGAAAGTAAACTTCAATTATGGAGGTCAACCTTAGAGTCTAAATATTTTCATTTGAGTAGATATAAAATTGAATATATGAAGTATAATTTTAGTGGTAATAGATCTAGTGGAGGGTTTCTAATTTTGAGCGATCTAGTCATTAGTAAGAGTATACGTTTTAGATATCTTGAGTCTACTATTTAGAGTGATGGTGAAATAGATGGGGATATTATTAGCATAATTCAAGTTGGATAGTTGAAGTTGAGGAATGCATCAGGCTTTGTTGTGCGATAGAAAAGTCCCCCTCAAACATAAGGGAAAATTCTATAAGATGGTGGTGAGACCTACAATGTTTTATGATGCAAAATGTTGGCCATTAAAAGAGAAGCATAATATTAAGTGTTGTAGAGATGAGGATGCTTAGGTGGATGAGTGGCTTTACTATTAGAGACATGATACGAAATGAGCATATACTTGAAAAGCTTGGAGTAGCTCTAGTGGAATATAACTAATGATCTTGTTAGGAAAGTTGATGTAATAGATTTAGCTTATACTAAGAAAGGTAGAGGTAGACTAAAAAGACTTGGTTAGAAAATTTTAGAAATGATCGTTCCTTTTTAGATTTAAATGAGAATTTGACTCTTAATATGACACAATGGAGAAAGGGATTCATGTAGCCGTCACATAGTACGTAGGATAAAGGCTTGATATTGTTGTTGTTGTTGTTCTAGCTTCTTGGCCTCATCCCTAGTTTTTAGGGAGTTTTTGGAGCTTCAGGTGTTTTTTGAGGAAGCCCCTATTGGTTTTATTCTTTTTGAGAATGTAATCACCTCAACTTTGAACTTTTATTTTATATTAATGAATGGGCTCTGCCTCTAATTACAGCAAATTTCTTCTGTTGTGTTCAAATTACAGAAAAATGAACTTTCTTTTTAAGCTTCTACTGTGCAGCATTATACAATGCAAAATGAACTTGCGTTGATTTTGTATCCGCCAAAGGTGCATTGTGCTTGCAGCGAGTTGCATAAATCCAAATTATTAAATGTATTAAAAGATGCCTCTAATGGCTTGGAATTAGTGAAGTGGAATATTCATAATTGCGAGGATAAGACAAAAACTCATAGTAATAATAATTGTGATGATGAATTATATTGATGGAGAATTTGAATCATATTATTCTAATATAATTATAATTACAATAAAATTAAGCCATAAATTAAAGATGCAGAGCGGGTCAAAAGAAAAAAAAAAACACAATTATGTTCTTAATTTATATTAAATTCATTCATTGATAATGTTTAAAGATCTCTAATGCCTTTCTTTTGATTTTACCTCTTTTGGAAGTTTAATTTCTTAATACAGAAAACAAACGTAAAAGCAAAAAGAAAAGAGAAGAGCAGAAGTACTACAGCAACAACTGCCATAAAATCCCTGTGATAACCAAAGTATTCCTTAACAAAAGTTTTGATAGGCTGCTTCATCTGCCCAGGCACTTCAATTATATCATCTAAATCACCATACTGAGTCGTTATTAACCCATAAACAGTCCAAGCTACTGGGCAAATCCAGTAGTACCAAATCCACCACCTTGGAATTTTCTGCAATCAAATATTAGTTTGAGGCATTTACTAATCATAAAATGAAATTTTAGATAGTAAATACTTACTGGTTTCGGGATGAAAAAGCCTGAGAAAAGTTGGAAGAATGAATAGAAAATAGAAGCCAAGATGATCGCAACATGTGGATTTGGAGAGAATGAAATAGTCATCATTCCATAATATGTGAAGTAGAGGAATGAGCAAAAGGAGATGTAATAGAACCACATAAACTTTGCCATCGTCCATTCAAAACCCATCATGGGGTATATTATACTGATATAAATCAAAGCCTGGGTGAATACATATGGTATTTCAATAATCACCTACAACAGAAAAAAATAAAATTAAAACATAAATTTCTTTTCTTCTTATTTAATTATTCTTAGAAAGTATTAATGGTGTAGCTCTTACTTGAGCTAAAGCGTAAGGTAAGGCAGAATACATGCCCGCAGCTCTTTCTCGATAGAACACAGTCCTCTCAATTGCTATAATTGATTGGACCGTCGTGCTATTTGTAATGCCTATAAACATAACAGCTACATACATGGATCCAATAACAGTTCTGATACCATTTGCATCCTCCCTAAGTCACACCAAAAGAAAACCAATATTGCAAGTCTATAGATATTTAAAACTAGACTTGGTTTGGGATGGCTTTCTTACTGCTTCTTGAAGCAGCTTTCTAGAATAAAAAATTTAATTTTTTTTACTAAAAAACTGCTTTAAGAAGAAGTAAGAAAACCGTCACAAACGAAGCCTAAACATGTGATCAATAATGCAAAATCTAATAATTATGAAACACATTTTAATCTAAAAGAAAAGCCAATAGTACTTCAAATTCATTTTGATTAGATGAAAGATTTACCGCTTGTGCCCAACATTCCAAAAGATAGATCCCAAGAGGAAAGCTGTACTGACAGTGAATAAAAATCTGACCAAGTTGTAATCAGGACTCCTCCAATATGACCACCATTGCTTCCAAAGGCAGCATTTAAATTGTTCATACATAGATTGTGAATATAAAGTTGCAAAATTGATATCTCTTGATCCAGGAGATGGTTTGCTTAATTCTTTGATCATTGCCTTAGTTTGCCTGGACATCGATGTTAATAAACATGAATTGGCGCTATTTATTAGGATATTAATGCTATATTACACGGATATGATAACAATAAGAATTTCACAGGATAAAGTTGCAAAGTCTTACTCATACAGTATTGATGCTTTGTAATAGTTAGCCAAGTCCATTCCCAAATTTATTTCAGCTGCATTTGAACTTACTTCGAGCATCCATGTTGCAGAATTGTAATTGTCTTTAATTTTTGGTATTCCGGGAATAGCCTGTTGTAGTAAATTGTACGTAATATGATATAAAGTGAATAATATTTTCATGAAGCTTAACATGGTAGAAAAATAACTACAAAAACTCCTTGGAAAATTGATACTATTACACATAACAAAATAACAAATTTTATTCAACGAAAAGAATATGTTGTTATATTGTCCAGCATGCACACCTCAAAATAATCAATCATATCCCTTGCTTTTTGTCCCAATGGTCCGTAGAATATGACTTGGCCTCCTCTTTTCAATAGTAGCAACTGTTCAATTGATTAAGTATCACATGAAAATACAGAATTTAATTATTTCTAAAGCTACAACTTATTATAAAAAATGTATGATGTAATTTAAATAAGTTCGGTACCTCATCAAATTCTTCAAATATTTCGGTACTCGGTTGATGAATTGTGCATACAACTGTTCTTCCAGTGTCAACTGTATTTCTCACAGTTCTCATAACAATGGCTGCAGCTCTTGCATCTAATCCTGATGTCGGTTCATCCATGAATAAGATTGAAGGATTAACAACTAGTTCTACAGCTATAGTCAATCGTTTTCTTTGCTCTGTTGATAAACCCGAAACACCTGAAAGGCCAACGATAGCATCTTTAAGATTATTGAGCTCCACTAAACCTATCACTTCGTCAACAAATGCCTGCAAAAAATGAAAAAAAAAAAAAAAAAAAGTTATGTAAAGCTATATCCATTTGATAAAAATAAAGACATCAGAAACTGTTGGATATTGGTCCAAGATTTAGGTAGTTTCTCTTTTTGTAGCTTTTTATGTTGTTATTTGTTGCCTATAAATAGGCTATAGGGTGTAATAGGAGATATGGTTAATTAAAAAAAAATTAATTTCAGTTCCTCTCCTTCTCTCCTTCCTCCTCTCCCAAGAAGCTTAAGAAGAAAGTGCTTCTTTCTTATTAAAAATCCTAACATATGGTACCAGAGCCAATTCGAGGAAAATGAGCTAGGTTGTGGAGGAGGAGTTTTCTTATCTAAAGAAACTAATTTAGAGCCTTGTTGAGCCGATCGAGGAAGGAGGAAAGTGTTCTTGAGGTAAATCAAGAAAGGGTTCAAGAGGGTTGACAGGTGCGTGGGCACGACATCCACAACAAAGGCTGGAGTCGGACCATTAAGCTAGGCCAGTTTGCTGGACCAAAGTAGTACAGGTTGAAGACATTGAGTGTGGTTGTTGGGCTGTGGACAGGCTCACGTAGACGGTTCGAGTCATGTGAACCGGTAGAGTACCCGGGTGACGACAAATTAAGAAGGCTTCGAACAGGGTTGGGTCGCTGGTAGCATGGAGATGTGCATCGGTTGGGAAGGCGAAGCCCGTGGCTAAGGGGAGGCCAAGGGGAAGGCCTTAGAAGAAAACAACGGTTGTTGCTAGGTTGATTGTGACATAGGATGAGGGAACATGGTGAGAACAAGTAGTTTTTGGTTTGAAAGAAAAAGATGGCAACATCTCCTAAATTCCTTTATAGTTTCTGTCCATCTTCGTTTAAGCAATTTCTTGAAAGTGTTGTAAACTTGAAGTGTGATGAGGAGCCTAACTATTCTAAACTTATATCTCTGTTTGATGAGTTAATTGGACCTAATCTGGCTATCGGGCCAATCAATCCTGATGGAGCATTGAAGGCTGGACATAAATGAGGCAAATTAACAATGGATGAAGAAGATCATTCTCAGTTAAGAAAGAAAATCAGTTTAGATCTTTAAAGTGGAGCATGTCTGTTCTTAAGGAGCAGTGCCGATAGTGGAAGCATGGAAGAGTGTCGCATGGGTGTGCGAGGAGATCGCATGGAGCATGGAGGCCGTGCAAGGCGCAAGTAAATGTGGGGACCAGGCATTGCACAGGGCTCTGCATGTGTATGGGTGTATATGCATAGGGTGCGGTCGGAGTTAGACCACATGTGCACAGGGCGCGGGGTGAGAGGTACAAGGTTGAGGCATGGGGCTCGGGACTGTGGCTAGATGCCTAGAAGAAGTGGCATGGGTGCGTGTGAGCTAAGGCTCGTGAAGAAGGAAACTCAAGATGTTGGTAGTGCAGTTTTTTAGGATTTTTTAACCGTCTGATGGATGCAATTAGTGGGGAAGACCTATGGGGTTGTTCTTTGTAAACAATAGATTTTCTTTGCGTAAATCTAGGACCAAGGTAGAGATTGTTGGATATTGGTCCAAGATTTATGTAGTTTCTCATTGTGTAGCTTTTTATGTTGGTATTTTCTACCTATAAATAGGCTATAGACTGCAATAGGAGATATGGTTAAGAAATAAATATTTGAGTTTAGTTCCTCTCCCTCTTTCCCTCCTCTCCCAAGAGGCTAAAAAAGAAAGTGCTTTTTTTCTCAATGAAGATCCAAACAAAATCATTAGAAGCAAAACTTCATCCTACATGAAAATAACTTTATACATTATTTTTTAATCATAATAGGTTCTTACCATCTTTTTTTCATCACTCACTTCCTTAGGAAGACGAAGGAAAGCAGAATATATCAAGGACTCCCTAACTGTAACTTGAGGTGAGTGGATGTCATTTTGTTCACAGTAACCTGAGATCCTTGTAAATGTTGCTTGCATTTTAGGGTAACCAGAAATTCTTATATCTCCTTCTATGTAACCACTTGTTTTTCTTCCTGCTAGAACATCTAAAAGCGTGGTTTTTCCAGCACCACTTACTCCCATAAGAGCTGTCAAAATTTTAGGACGAAAAGCTCCTGTAACTCCATTTAATAGTTGTAATCGATCTTGGTTGACTTGGTCGACTTCATGAATTTTAATTTCCTGAGAAATTAGAACAAAATAAAACATTGATGGCCTTCACTATTGAATCAACATGCCTATATGTTTTAACAAACATTGTAGTTGCATTTGCTTAATTTAGAAAGAAAATAAAGGAAGCTAGAAAATATTTAGAAAATCAAAAGAACAAAATAAAACATTTGCTAAAAAAGACTCACCTTTGGCATATCAACGTAGTAATTTACTTCATGAAATGATATGCTTAGAGGAGTGAATGGAAGAACCATTCCTTTTTTTGGAAAAAGCCCACTAACTACATGAATAACAATCTTATTATTATGCATCATAAAACAATTCAACGAAAATTACAATTGAATACAAAAGGGCGGCAACATCACTTTCATGACCCATCTTAAAATTAGATGAAACAAATTAGAGCAACGTTTCTTACTATTGTCATTTTCCTTTATAAAATGTACAGCAACATTTGAAGAAGCAACGTGAGAACCCGACTTCTTAGAAATAGATTGATCCTCCATTTTATTTTTATTTTCGTGTGACTCTGATGCCATTTCTTTAGTAATAATGGCATGTGACTTTCCAAATGCTATTTTGTAGGAAGAAAAATGTGAATAAAAATGTTAAAATATAGAATACTATCTACAATGGAAAGAAATTAAATGATAGGAGATGAAGATTATATAGAGCTTACAATTCAGTGAGGCTAGTGCGATGGTGAAGAGAATGTTAAGGGTAATGATACATCCCAAATATATTTCTACTCCAATCCAATACCACTTATTCTCAGGAATGACATTAGCATTTTCTAGCACAGCCACACCTAACCTTTTACCATCATTTGCCTGCAGGTATGTTGTATTTATCATTATTACACAATTATAAAAACATGCATGATAAAATATATCAAATTTCATAACATAAAATGGCTAAAGGATATATTTATTGGAGTGTAAAATATGTGGGTGGGATGACTCACAAATTTAATCATCCATCTTGGAGCCAAAAACTCATTGATAACCAAAGCATTAAATCCATATGTCAGTGGTGAAATCCAATAACCCCATTTCCACCAAGTTGGAATTGCTCCTAGTGTTATGAAACAAAAATGCAACTTCAAAACAAAAGAAATAGAATTAAGAAAAAAAATATTAATATTGCATACCTTACAACTCACAAAAATTTTAATTAGAACTTTTAAATAATTGAAAGAATTCAATTATGATTTACTAAAAAAATATTAATCAATTAATAAAAAAGTAAATGTTTTTGGCTTCATTTGATATACACGAACACAAATATGCCATTAATAAGGACCTTTTGGCAGAATAAAGCCAGCAAGAACACACATAATGACCACAGATAGAGACCCTGCAGTATTTGATATAATCAATGATCTGCACAATGCTGCAATTAATCTGAACAACCCTGCAGCCACCTGCTGCATCAAAAATAGCAATAGGAACTGCTTGAAGAACCTAGAGAGGCAACATCAAAATTTAGAATGTCACTAATTCATTAAGATATCATTTAGAAAATAAAATTTGCGTACCTGCTAGCTTCTGGTGCAAAGTCAATCATGTAGTAGGTTATAGATACCCACACAATGGACTCAAGCATGGAAATAGGGACTCTGAGCACAAAATTAGGGAGGGTGAAGACCCATGCAGGGTATAAGAGGAGATCCCTATGTTTATAGAATACTGTTAGCCGACTAACAGTAAGGGAAAGTTGTGAAAAGCCATTGAATAGATTCGCAATTATTGCAAAAGTAAGTGAGCCGATGTACATGTTTCCATCTGAAATAGTATTTGTGTGCATCCGAGTCCTCAAGAACAATGTTGATGAAATAAAAGCTAAGACAATGATCTTTAAAAAAAAGTCACATAATCAGTTAAATCATCTTAAAGAATTATACAATTTGATAAAGTATTTTATTTTCTACTGCTTCAAATAATTTTCAAACCTTTGTGGTGATATTGGTTTGATTTTTATTTGTGCTTTGCTTAAGAAAATTTTTTATAAAATAATTTACCCCCCCCCCCCCCCCCCCCCCCCCCCCAAAAAAAATGCAAACTATTAAAAAAATCTAAATTTTGAATTCACATATATCCAAAATTCCAAACTATTAAGAACATCTCGATGAATAATTAAAATTCAAAATTCCAAACTATTAAAAACTTGTTCACCAATAAAAACCTCTAATTACCAAATAATATGATGCATTAAGATTCAAAATAGTCAAGAACGTATTTAACTTAGTTTAATTAAAAAGAGTGAGCATCTCCAAATCGTCTTTCCTCTTTTGGAGTGCTTACAACTTGTAGTGGGTTTCTGAGTCTCGCGATAATCTACATTTTTAAGTTTGCACCAATCTTAAAATTGCAAAATAGCATAAAAATATGTCAAAAATAAAAATAATATCATGTATGCTAATGTTGACCGCCTTAAAAATGGTTCCATATGATGTATATTTATAAATGCCCCCTCTTTGTGGAGTGTTAAAGTTTTATAGTGGAGTTCTCAATCCTCATCATATATTAGTACTCTTTTTCTTGTATGAATTTCTCCAAACTGGCCTAAACTAACTATCAAATATAGTATAAAAGGAAAGAAGCAATCATTTATATAAGCTAATATTTACTTAACTAAAAATGCTTCCATGTGTTGTTCTCTGTTTCATCATAATCATATAAGCTAGCTGAATATTTAAGAAGCCTAAATATGACATATTCTTAAAGATGAGATGGTGTTATGATGTCACAAAATATTTTTCAAATCAACGCAATAGTATGGAGGAAATGTTAGCCGCAGCTAAATTCCAAAATAATGATAGTTTGAATCTCTCACTAAGTTTGCCAAGGTGGTTCTCAATCTCATCAAAATCATCATCATAGTCCTATTTTTTTTAAACCTATCTTCACCAACTTAATTGAAAATAAAATATAATACTAGAAGCACTGCAGATGTATTAAAAAACTTACATGTTTTAGTTTCAACCATTTTTAATCAGTTATTGAGTGAGGTGGTAATATGTCGATAATCTTATTTGATTTGAGGATCACAAGATGTATAAATGGATGTGTTGCAATTAACATTCAAAACATATAATTCCTCAGTTGCATAAAAGAAATTATTGGCAAAAATTTTAATCCTTATAAAGTTTTTGTTGTAGCCTTAAGAAAACAATAACTATCATTAAGGAAGTCAAACCTGTATAAGTTTAATGATGTGTATAAACAAGTTGCGCTTGATAAGGATCCATTCCTTGGCAAAGGATGCACTAAGGAGCTCAGAGTAGGAGACTGTGTGCTTTTCAAACGCAAGGGAAGCAGAATGGTTGTTGCTTTTGTCAAAGGGAATAGAGAGCTCAAACTTGTGATTGAGGCCGATAAAAAACTTATCAAAGTTATTTGAAAACTCCTGAGCAGAGACATAGGAGTAAGGTAAATTGTGGTCAACCCAATATTGCTGCTGATCTTTGCGAGATATGACCTCCTGGATGAAATCAGCTATGCTCTTTCTTTCTGGGCAATGGAAGCCACATGATTCAAAGAAGCGTAGCACAAATTCACAAGGACCTTGGTAAAGTATATGCCCTTCATTTATAAGGATTATGTCATCAAAGAGTTCAAAGATCTCAGGACTAGGTTGGAGAAGAGACATCAAGATGGTGCCTTCCCCTAAATGAACAATTTGTTGCAAGCATTTTATTATTTGATATGTTGTTGAGCTATCCAATCCCACCGATATTTCATCCATGAAGTATATCCTCATCGGCCCCACTATCATCTCTCCTGCATTTTCAAGTTAAGCAATAAAAACTAAGTTATAGCAACAAGTTCAAACAACCAAACAAGATTTTCATTCACTATAGTTTGCATAAAAAATCAAGTTAATCTCCATGCCATTTCATACAGTAATGTCATTTTTCAATCAATAAAATTTAACTAGAAAAATTAATAAAATATCAAGATTAGTGATCAACAATTTTAAAAATCATAAAAATTAAACTAATAGAACTTATGATGAAATCACTTCGCATTAAGAATTTATGAATATGAAAGGCTAGCTATAATAAAAATCACAACTTCATTTATTTTATGAACTGGACCTGTTCGGTCCAAGCACGGAAGCCCTCCTTCAAGCATGATAGTCAAAATCTTCTAGAGTTTTTCCTTCTCATTCTCTCGCCCTTGATTGCTTCTCTTTCCGTTTAAGGAAAAGAGCCGTCACTACAGGAAAACCCGGTATTACCGGCGGACCATATCCGCAGGCAATACGTAAAATACAACGCGTTGAAGCGGGAAACATCTTTTCCTTCCCTATGTAGCCGTTGAACATCTTCCTCCTCGACACTAACTTTTATTCTCACGACAACAGCCATTAGTGAACATTCTCAACCTCTTCTTCTTGTATAGTGTGTTTCTTTCCCTCTCCTTCTATATTGCATCCTCCTTTTCATCTTCTTACGTTTTTGGTCACCTAATTAAGATTTTTTTCATTTCTAATGTGAATCTAGATTCAAAAAAAAAAAAAAGTGAAGCTAGATTCGATTCACATCGGTTTTGTATAGCCTTGAATTACCTATTTGATGGGCTTCAACGTACTTTGGAAGAGAGTTTTAAGTATGATGTTTGAATGGATCAAAATATAAATTATTTTGTATCCTTGCTATACATTTTAAATGTATTATTAATTTAAGGTTGTTTGTCAGGTATATTTTATTTTTTGTCTTCATAAGATGACTAGTTAGGTCATAGGATGGATCATATTATTTGATAATTAATGTGGTGATTATGGTGTGACTTAGATTGATTAGGATATCAACCTTTATGCCTTGAAGTGGTGATTATTATTATTTGGTTTCATTTCTTATTGAACTTTTGCTTGGTGAAGCGTGCAACCTAAAACCTAAATTGGATTTCCTGTTGATCACTCTAAATAACTATTATTTATTATTGAGTAAATGTAACATGCTTTGGTAGGGGTGTAACCTGTGCTATTTGCATTAAATTTTATATTATTATTGATTATATTGATATTCCTATCATTATTGTGAAATTTATTGCCTATTTGCAAACACTTGTAAATATCTTTTCATGCTCATAATGAACTAGAAAGTTTCATAAATAAATAATTAATTTAATGCTATAAAACTCCTATATATCAATTTTTATAAGTCATGTTTTCATGAACGTACTCCTATTGAATGTAATAAATATCATATCTATAAATTATATCTTATTATGAATAACATTCATCATATTGAAACTATAACACCTGTTGAAAAGTGCTTATGAAAAATTTGGAATATTATATGCATGGTGCAATAGAGTTTAGGTTGGTGGAACCCTCATAGTGATGAATCTATAGAAAATCATTGAATTTTCTTGGGTTTGTGTTTACCTTCGTGGTGCAAGATGTTTGATTAAGTCAACTATAGATATAAAATTGGATATGAGTTGAGCGATGATTGACATATGGGTCATATAATGGTATGATAATATATAAGCACGATTTTATATGCATAAATCTAATAAAAATTGCATTAGTTACAGGTTGACATTCACATTTGCAATAGTAGCATACTAGAATTATTGTAGGAATCACGAAACATGATATTATTGCATGAATATAATGATTGTTGATTTCTACTTCTACTTGTTGATTTGGTCACACTGCATGCCCCATTCCTGTCATTTATACTTTAATAAATAGAAGTTGTTTATTGAGTTTGATTTATAAAACTCACCCATAATTACTTTTGTTTATAGCAGGTCCTGTTGGAGCGATAGGTGGATCGCTGTCTTAGAAGTAGATCTATCAGTAGTAGCATTGAATTGGGTACTTTTGTATTTCAGGTCATTTTGGCATTTCCTTTTGATGGTTTTGTATTTTCTTTGAAGTTATATATTTCTATTACATTTCATTTGCTTGTAGTAGTCCTTTTGTATTGGTTTACTATTTTTAAATTCATAGGAATTAAATTAAAGTTCAATTTCTCTTATATTAGTTACTCTGATATATTTTATTATATTATTGATTTATGCACTTTTCTTCTTGTGAGTATAAAACAAGTCTTCCTATCCCTTCTTCGAGTCCTATTTTGGCACGGTGTACCGCCTTCAAGGCCTAGGATGTGACAAGTTATGATAAATATTTTGAAACTAAAATCACTAATATTTTTTTACGTATAAAGTTTTCTATTTGAAATTAACTTTTGTGAAAATTCAATTTCACATAGAAGGTAAGGAATGCTACATGAATAGCCAAAAACATTATTAATATATAGTAATACAAACTAATCTACCCAAAAGAAAAAAATATGATAATGAAATCAAGCAGAATTTAATCCTTAAAAAGTTGAAAAAGATTAGCTTGGCAAAAAAAGGTCAAAAGATCGATCTAAGTTCAACTCAATGGTCAAAGTTCAAAAAGAAATTTAGATCAAATTTTGGATCAAATTAAGCTTGGATTGAATCATCAGACGAAGTAATGGTTTAAAACCTTTTTTAATCAGAATTGAATATAATAAGACAAGTTTGGTTGAAATCAAAATAGGATCAAGCTAACCTATAGATATATTTGTCTTTGCTAAATATTGAATTAATTTTAAATTGGTTATTGACATGAGAAAGATCATAGTTTTCTCGGGTCATTTTTTCCTTGGTAAAGTACATTCAATCTCAAATTGACATTGAAGAATGAGGAATTCAATCTTTCTCTCCATTTTTCTTGGAATCTTTCTTTTTCATTAAGTGCATCAGCTAGTTCTTTCTTCTATCCACTATTTTTGGATGGTTCGTAAACCCTCTTTTCTCCTCTTTTTTTATAGGGATATTCAGCATTAATTAATAATTTGTTTTACAATCTTTGTTGTTGGTCTAGATCCAATATCATCTCTCTTTTGCTAATCTTCTTTAATTTTTTTAAGCCATATTCAAAAATGTAATAGCCCTTAAATTAGCTTTTGCAGAAATCTAAAATCTAAATGTCTGAAAATCAAATTTCTAGTTTAGGAATCATGGAATAACCTATCCAAAAATTAAAAAGAGGGAAGCTAAGCTATTTCATTAGAATGGGGCCAAATCTAAAAGATCCAATTAATGCTTGGGACAAGGATGACTTCATTACTTTTTCATGATTATGAATTTATATGCAACCACAAATCATGGGAAACTACATATTCCTCACAATCGTCAAGTAAATATAGGAAGTTATTTTTCAAACTTACTCCAAGAAGCAAGATGCTACCCTGATCTATGAAATAATAATAAAAAAAACATCAACAAAATAAAGAATTCATTCTATCATAGAATACTAAAATATGTTGAATAGTTATCAACTTGAATTAGATCACTACAAGAACATCAGAATGAAATGCAATGATGTCAAATGGCTAAAATAGATTGTAAAAAGGGATAGAATATTTAAGTTCATGGATAGTTCAAAAGTTTGAACAAGTTAAGGCACATGTGCTTAGAAAATGGTCACTACTAACTTTCAATGAAATTGTCACCTTAATACATGATAAGGAGAATTAGAGGAATGTGATACCCCAAATTATAGAAGTCTAAATGATTTCTAAAAAAACTTGAAGGTAAATGGAAAAAAAAAATGATACTAAGAAACAAATCAGGTAATACTAAGAGACTGAAATGATAAGCAATCTAGTTTGAAATATCTAGTTGATCTCCAAGTATCACTTTAACCACTCTCCTATTATTCAATTCCTAACTAGATTAAACCCTTAGGAACGCCCAATTATTGGTAGATGCTTGAAAGGAGCACTTTACCCTTTCTCCAATTATTCATTTCATGTAGCAACTCTAAACCATTATTTTGTTAATTTGGAATTATTTCCAAATTGAAATAAGCTTTTTATTTGGATAGTTTTTAATGACTCATTATTATAATTAATCAGGGAATATATTTTTTTTCTAATTAAGTTGATTTGATTTGAGATTTGATTGATTCATTAATTAGGTGATCTAATTATTGCATTAATTAGGTATATGATTGGAGATTTGATTGATGCATTAATTAAGAGATCTAATTATTGCATTAATTAGTGGTTTATTTTAGATTTGATTAGGATTAAATTAGGAAGCTTTTTTCTAATTTACTTTGGCTCAAATATATAAATAGAGCCCTGGGGGATGTTGTTGAATGTGAGTGTATAAGAGGAAGAGAGAGCTCATTATAATTCTCTATTTTCTCCAATTTAGTGAAATCATCATCTTCCCCCTGTGGACGTAAGCATCTTTGCCAAATCATGTACATCGTCGTGTTTATTATATTTGTGTTATGTGATTTTTTTTTTCACTATGATTATTTGCTTAATAATTGGTGCTAGAGTCAGATTTTGAATATTTTGGCGACTGAGAATGGGAAGATTTCCTATTTGTTTGGTTTGACTAGGCTTATAGAAATGTTTGGACGGATCAAATGCACCAGGCTTGATTGATTATTGAGCTAGATTGGTGTAATTCTGATGTCATAAGGAGGTTGCAATTTGGTGGAGGCTATGAGATATGATGGAGCCATGGTTACATCCACCTCGACGGTGGAGATGGTGGTGATCAATCAGGTGGTTACACATTCCATTAAAATTGATATGAAAAAATTAGATGGCAAAAGAAACTTTGGCATGTAGCGATATGAGGTGATGGATGTGCCGTGCTCTTTGAATCTAGAGATTGTTTAGGAAGGTGATGAACAGTGTGAAGAGATGTTTGAAAGAGATTGTCTTAAGATGAACCAGTGCTTATGGCTTGATCACAAATTACTTATCTCAGGAGATCAAATATGGGATAATGATGGAGACTTATGTTGTGTAGCTATAGAAGATTTTGGAGAATAAGTATCTGATAAAAAGCATGGAGAATCCTCTTTTTATCAAGAACCATCTCTACAGGTTTTAGATAAGGCATGGGATTACAATTGATGAGCATTTGAATGAATTCACAAAGCTATTGGTAGATCTTTTGAATCTTGATGAAGAGATTGGAGATAAAGACAATGCTCTCCTTCTATTGAATTCACTCCTAGATGAATAAAAACACTTCATAATGATGCTCATTCATGGGAAGGAGGTCTTACATTATGGTGAGATGACTACTACATTGTTGAATCATGAGTTCTAGTATTGGGATAAGGAGTCTGAAAAGATAGATTCAGTTGAGGCTCTAATTCTCCGACTAGAATATCTGAGAAGAAGAAAATGGGTGATAATAAGCAGGGAAGGTATAGTGGGCACAATCTTCGGAATAATTAATGTACTTTTTATTTGGGGATTGTTCATTGGAAGAAAAATTGCCCGTAACTGAAGGAGAAGGGATAGGGAGTGTCCATTGAGTCTAATCTTAGTTTGGAAAAGAATGATAAAGATTCAGACATATCACTATCTATAGTTGCTCAGAGTTTATATTTAGATTGTTCATGCTGGATTCTGGGTACTGGTGCTACTTATCACATTTGTCAAGCTATGGAGTGGTTCAATACCTACAAGAATCTTGATAGTCGTTTTATGATAATAGAAAATGAATAATCTTGTCGTATAGTTGGTGTACATAGCATCTTCATCAAAATGTATGATGATACTGTGAGAGAGATGATTGATGTGAGGCACATTATAGAAATCAAGAAGAATTTCCTTTGAGTTGGGGCTTTAGAAACTAAGAGCTACAAGGTAGTCATTGAGGCAAGATTTCTAAATATATATCATGGAGCATTGGTTTATCTAGGAGTTAATCACCACAACCTTTACTACCTTCAGTGAAGAATAGTGATTATATGGGCTGCTATTACTGATGATTCTTATGATGCCACTATATTATAATATATGCGGCCAGCTCATAATAGAGAGGCTTCTCTTATGGATTTTTTGAAGAAATGATTAATTAAAGGAGCAAGCACCTGCAAGCTCAATCCGTATGAATATAATATATTTAGAAAGAAGACATGTGTATCCTTTGGTACTGCCATCCACAGTATTAAGGGTATCTTCGAATATGTTCACACACATATTTGGGGCCCAATGAAGATAACATCATTAAGCGAGCAGTAATACTTTGTCTCTTTTATTGATGATTACTCAAGATATGTTTAGGTGTATATCATGAGGCGTAAATGCGAGGTACAGGAGATTTCTAGAACTTGGAAGAAGTGGATTAAGACTCATAGTGGAAAAAGGATATGGGGTATATGAACATTAGGGGTGAATACACTTTGGATGCATTCGTGCAAGTGTATAAAGATTTGGGATAAAGCACCACTTCATTGTTAGAGTGACACCATAGTAGAACAGGGTGACAAATAAGATAAATTAGACTTTAGTGGAGAAAGTTTAGTGTATTTTATATAATATTGGGTTGGATAAAGTCTATTGGGTTGAGGTAATAAAGTATGCCTGTCAATTGGTGATCCATTTGCCTTAGACAACTATTGGGAAGAAGACCAAACAAGAATGTGTGGTTATAGAATCCAGCTAAAGAATATCAGCACTTGAGAGTGTTTGGGTATCCAACTTATTATCATGTTCTGAATGATAAACTAGTACTACAAGTAAAAAAGTCAATCTTTTTTAGCTTTAGGCGTGGAGTCAAGACCTTCAAACTCCATGATACGGTAGAGAAGAAGATTGTCATCAGTATGGATGTTACTTTTGATGAGGTTAGTATGTTAAAGCTTTAGGACTCTAACAAAATGGGGAGTTCCGCTAGGACCATAGATACACTACATAAGTTGGAATTTGATGTAACTACATTTCCTTCATAGAGGCAGATCATCTCTATCCAGATATCTGATTCAGTTGAAGATCAAGTGGTAGAAGATGATGTTGAGAATGGGATTCCTGCTAAAAAATCTATTACGACGAATAGGTTCAGGCGCCAGAATGTCCCAAAATTAGCTTGGTTGAAGGATCACATTGTATTTGCACTTTCAACCACGGAGGATAAATTTCCTTATGACTATGAGGAAGTTATGGACATTCCTGATGGTGAAATTTGGAAGAAGGCTATGGATGAAGAGATAGAGTATCTTCAGAAGGATACTACTTGGAGGTTGGTGAAACTTCCTCTTGGAAGAAAAGCCATTGGGTGCAAATGGAAGCATGCAAAGAAGGAAGGATCTCATGGAGCTGATGTGATATAAAAGGTTAGGTTGGTAACGTAATACTCTACACAACGGGAAGAGATTTCTTATGATGAAGTGTTCTCTTCAGTGGTTAAGAATCCCTCGAGCCATGGTTACTTGACACTTGTAGCATGATATGGTATGATTTTGGAATTTCTCAATCCAAACATTACACAAGAAATTGGCTTGTGAGCTGGTTCATACATGATCCAAGAAGAAGGCATTGGAAAGCTGTGAAAAGTATCCTTAGGTATCTAAAGGGTACAATTGATATAGGCTTGGTAATGCAGCCACCACGATAGTGGTGCAGGACTCATGACTTATTGTCTACTTGTTTGAAGAACTGCTTAATTTAATCCCTTAGGGGGGGGGGAGAGGGTATGTAGATAACCATCTAGTTGCAATCATTTTTATATTGGAGCCTCATTTGTCATATTCCACTTTTTGAAGTGAACTATGAGGTGGAAATTTTTAATTTGGAATTATTTCCAAATTCAAATAAGCTTTTATTTAAAACGCTTTTAATGGCTCATTATTATTGATTGGAGATTTGATTGATGCATTAATTAGAGGGTCTAATTATTGCATTAATTAGGGATTTGATTGGAGATTTGATTGATGTATTATTTAAGAGACCTAATTATTACATTAATTAGGGATTTGATTAGGATTTGAATAGGATTAAAATAGGAAGTTTTTTCCTAATTTACTTTAGCTCAAATCTATAAAAAGAGCCCTAGGTAATGTTGTTGGGTGTGAGCGAATTAATAAGAGAAAGAGAGAGCTCATTGTAATTCCTAATTGTTCTCCAATTTAGAGTAATCGTCATCCCCTCCCTGTGAACATAGACATCTTCGTTGAACCACATAAATCACTGTGTTTTTTTGTGTCTTTGTTGTGTGATGTTATTTCTTTTGTGATTGTTTGCACAACATATTCTACAAACCATCCCACATCATTTTATATATTAAAACTCAAAATGCAAAACTATCTTCTACTAACATAGGAACTAGACTAAAAATGAAAACATTATACAATTGTTCATAATTTGGCTTTCAAAGATTAATTGAATGAAAATGAAAATATTATACAAAACACTAAGAAAGTAACAAAATTCTGATTTGCTTCAAGCATCCTATTATTAACATGCATGTTATTGCTAATATGTAAATATATAGTGCTCACATACTTAACCACTATGACAGGTCCTAAAGATAATTAAAGTATGAAAGGGTAGTGGGATATGCAAGGGATGAACCTGTGGTTAGCCGCTTCTTCTGCCCACCTGAAATACCTCTCCTCAACATATCTCCTACAATGATATTATCACAGTCGTCCAAACCCAATATCTGCAAACAAATTATTTCTGATGTAAGCTTTTGCAGTTATAAGAAAATTAAGAACATTCATGCAAATACTTAAATGCCACTTGAAGAGACAAAGAAACAAATGTAGAAGTTATATGACAAGACAATGAGACATAACTTTTTCCATATACCCTATTTGATAATGTTTAAAATGATTTTTCCACATATAATTTAAGCCAATACTTTAAACTCATGATAAATGATACTCTAGAAAAGGACTTTTTATCATATGGCAAGAAAGTGTGACTGAATGTTGATTAGTCTCTATTTGATTATTCAAAATATAATAACTAAATAACAATGATATAGTGCTTATATTGAAAGGTAAATTTAGAGACCATGAATATATATATATATATATAGTTGCTTTTAGAAATGAGTGGTAGAGTAGCTGTCAACAAAATTATAAGAAGTAAAATGACTTCAAATTAGTTAGGGTAATCCATGGGCCTATATTTTGGCTCTAGTTTCAATAAAATATCTCGACATGCAAGATCTTCTCCTAACCAATGAGTAAAGTTTAAGACGTTTCCAACCCCTGCATTTAGCAAGAAAATAAGAAAACTGCCCCATAACTTTTCTTTTCTTAAGCTCAATGAGTGTTAAGCTCTTGATCCAAGACTTAGGAAAAACATCAATTATCCAAATAATTTTTTTTTTTAAGCTTAAGATTAACCATTGGCACTCAGAAGAGTGAAATAATATAAGAAAAAAAAAGGAAATAAAGAAATAGAAAGGAAACTGCCTACATCATAAGATGAAGCCAACACTGTGCAAGCTACAAATGGAGATATAATTGGGAAATATAATAAATTAAAGCTATTGATTGGACTCTCACATTCATAAAGAAGCAAAAGTTGTTTTATAAAATAGATTCAAAAGTTTGTTCTGAAAGCAGATTTTTAAATACATTTTAAAAAAAAAAGCTCTTCCTTTCATATTGAAACTTACATCAGCTTTCTGCTATGGAAAGCACTTCAAAAATTCAAACAAACAAACCCTTATTAAGGCTGATTTGGTTGCTTGAAATTAGAAAACATGTTTTGAAAAATACTGATTTTTCAATATTTCAATGTCAATATAGATTTTAAACTCAACAAACACCTCTAAAATCCCTCAAAATTCAAAAAGAAATGATTTCAATGGCATATTCAAAATGAGCGAAAACCAAATTATGGCTTTGTAAAACATGATTTTATCCTACAAGCAATCAAATGAGCCCTAAACTCTAAACACTAAGATGCACCAACACTTTATAATGTCAAAGTATGTAGTGCCCAACAAATACTTTAGAAGTGGATTAAGATGTGAATAGTAAAGGGAGAAAACACAAATATCAAAGAAATCATAAAAGAAGATTTGGCTATGCATACACACAATAAATAGCATAAAGTACCACAAAATGGTAACAATATAGCCAAAACATAATACTAAATACATAAAATATTTCACATAAATTTGAAAACTATCACTCTTATACCAAAATGATACTAGGTAAGGAAAGTGTAACAAAAAATTAAATGATAAATGTTCGTATTATTGATGAAGAATGCTCAGAGTGAATAACCCATTTTCACAAAGAAAGCTCTACGAGCCGAGAGTGCCCACCCTTTCTGTCAAGTAGGCTACTTTTTCCGGAACACAGTCCGCACACAACTCAGCACCCATGAACTGAACCTAGGAGGGAACCCCATATTCCTCAGAACAAGCTCCAAAGTTCTCCGCGATTGTGGAGGAACCGGATCGGAAAGGGATTCTAGTTGTCATATATCTAATGAAACCATAGCTGGAATTGAGATCAAGGGATGTGATTTTCTCATACGAGAAAATCTTCCAGCTGAAGACTTGCTGGAAAAATAAGCAGAAAGCACAAGCCCAAGCCCTGACAAGCATACGAAAATGCTTCGCGCCTATTTTTCTTTTAGTACATTCGTGATTCCTTGGAATTCATCTATTTCCTTTCACTGTGAAAGAGAATAGGTGGGTGGTTTACCCAACAACTTTGCTGAGTATGGTATGGTGCCTTCCACCTTGAACCAATGCATTAAAGACACCCGTAATGGTGAGGAATATTCCATTCCTGGAGATCTGCATCCCTTCACCATCAAGCAAGAAGATGCTAGATTCTTGGGAAGAAAATATCTCGGGTATACTGACCTGTTACGAGCCAAGAAAGACATGGGCTGCACCCAACCATGTCCCTCGGTATTGAGTTGTTAAATCATGAACTAGTAAATCCTAAAATGTTGTCAATTTTTATTTAAAATTAATTACAAAGAATATTTTTAAAAAAATGTGAAACCTAAATACCCTAAAAACTCCCTCTTAATCATGTAAAATCCAACCGCCTACACCCCCCCCCCCCCCTTACATCCCCCCCCCCTGCCCAAAATTCACTCATCCATGCACACATGCTTCTTCTCCTTCTCTTAGTTCTACTCTTGTGAGAACCTGACCCAACGCAAGCCTCTTCCAGTCACCATCGTCTTAGGTTTTGTCTCCATAGTCTTGTTGTTGTTGCGCATTTGAGGTGAGGAAACACTAAATTTGAATGGGATGTTGAACCTCTAGGTAGGGTCAATCGGGAAGAGGAGATAAACATTAAAAATGAAATCCAATTGAATAGCCACATCTTCAGACCACCTATCATGATTTATTTTGGAGTATGGATGTAGAGCTACGTATGAACTCCGCACAGAATAATTTCTCTAGGATTTGAGCAGGATTTCGGGCAGCGATAAAAGGTATGATTTATTTATTTTTAATTATCAATATAGATAATAATAATATTATTATTATTATTATTATTACAAAATGACTAAGAATGAAACAAAGCATAAGAATGAAACTGAGCAATTCTTATCTTGATTTGCGTGCCTTTTCTTTTCAAAATTCATGCATCGTTGCCTTGGGATCCACTTCAATTTTTCCACATAAATTTTGTCGAGCAAAATTATAGTCATATTTGGGCATCACTGACATTCCAGCGATCGGAGGTCGTTTGACCACTTATGAGATGCGTCACCTGCCAATCGTCAGTCACCAATTTTACTCTTTTCACGCATTTTAAATGTATGGGTTAACAAACACTCATAAATATACATATACATAGTCAAAATCAGCGCTTAGATGTGACGAATATGATAAGCCTAAGTTCACTTAATTTAAGGCACTAAGATATTTAAACAATATTATTAATTAGATTAAGAAGATCAACTCTGATAATTCGATAAACAATTTTGATTTCTTTTTGAATTAAATAGAATGCCCCATCCAAAGATTTACAAATATTTCATGCTTTTACACATTCCTGAGGATCCAATAGAGGACATTGAAGGAGAGGACTCTTAAACTTGGAGAATTCTAGAGTTTTAAGCATAAACACACATGATACCCACCATTGCCACTTTCATTAATGCCTATTGTCACCACCATCGTCGTGCATATCATCGCCACCATTACAGATGCCCTCAATCACCATTGTAATATCATGTAATTACCCTTCCTAAAAAATTAAATTGTCCAACTAATTTCCTTAGAACACCCCCAGAACTCCCTATAAACCTCAAATTGAGGACATTGGGCGAGCAATCAAGAAAGAAGAAGGATTTAATTAGGAGAGAGAGAGAGAGAGAGAGAGAGAGAGAGAAAGAGAGAGAGAAAGAGAGAGAGAGAGAGAGAGAGAGAGAAGCTGGGCACAAACAAACTACCAACACTCTTACCACCCATAATTCCCACCAAGGCTAACTCTGGGCATCACTAGCAAGGTTGATGCTTATATTCCTAATCATCCATCTCCACTCTTTATATAGAATGATTGAGCATATCATGAATGCTAACTTTTGCATCTCAAGGCTCTCCTTATTTTTAAAATGGAAAACATATTCTATAGGTCATTTTCTCTATTGTATTAAATTTTTTTTCAATTATATGGAAGTTAACCATCTACAATATACAACTCAAACTAGTAGAATCACTTCAACTGGGCAAGTCCCTGGGCTTTTTCTCTTCTCATATTTCTCATGTAAAAAATATTAATGTCTCTAATGAGTCGCTAGCTCAAAACTTAATTATATGTGTATGTGACATTTTTGTACAACATTATGAAAAAAAAAAACTCTTGTTATCACCAAAAATATTCCAGTATATAATATATAAGTTTAAATATTAAATGAACTTTGATATTCTATTCAAAATTTTAATCCTAAAAATTTTTATTGAACATACAATCGCATTAGCAATAAAAATTAAATGTTTTAACTTCCATAGATGATGTCATCCTTATGTGAAGCATTAGTTTTTTTATGTGTTAGAGCATTTACACTAATAGAGGGAAAATATTCAACATTGTAGCTTTGCACTACGATCTAGCATAAATACAGATAAGAGAGGAGTTATAGGAGACATCGACATTTTTATATGAAAATCTCAAGAGAGAGAGAGAGAGAGAGAGAGAGAGAGAGAGAGAGAGAGAGAGAGAGAGAGAGAAAGACTATAGGGCTTCACCCTGTTAAGATGATTCCACTAGTATATGCTATGATTATAAATGTATCATTTCCATAATTTGGAAAGGTGTTGCTATAGTACAACAACATCAAGCCTTTATCCCACTACGTGGGGTCGGCTGTATCATTTTCATAATTTGGAAAGGTGTTGCTATAGTAGAACAGATATAAATTATATAAAACAGATCATTTCATAATGAAAGTTGAAAGAGCACTATGGCATGGGAGCTTTCTTTAAGATATCCTTTATTATATGTTGGGTTATTCTCCTATGAGGAGAGGAAATTAGAGGCCAAGAGGTCTTGATAATAGTAGACAAAATTGGTGTCGACGAAATGATTTGTTTTATAGGCAATGGCATGCTTCAATATTTATAGCGATGAAGCAAGCATGCATTAACCTCTGTGATGATAGTATGCATCAATCTTATTAAGAACGTCGTGCACTATCAACATATTTAATGATGGTGGACAAAAAAAGTTTGAGGGCATTGGTGATAGTGTCGATGGCTTACATTGGCCTTATATGTGATGGCGATCATGCATCGACGTAGTTGGCTATGGCAGGTAACAAAATTAGTGGTGGTCCAACTACAATGGCTATCCGACGATGATGGTTAAATGGTAATAGTTCAACTATTTTTTTTCAAATGATGATGGCTCAATGTAGTGGTCAGGCAAAGCTCGAAATCGTACGAGCTCTCTCACTTTTCTCTCTCGTCCCCAATCCAAATCCCAAGTCACCCTCATGTAGATGGTTGGGGTAAATATAGTTAAAATCCAAAACACTCTATCTGATGGCCTATATTGCCCCCCTTGATCCTAATATGTTCTTTCAAAATCTATGTGTCGTATTAATGTTCTATGTAGGTGATATTAACCTCATTGGTTTCATCTCTTCGAGTTGCTCAATTTTATCATAAGTATGTGAGATTTGAAGATTGAATCACTTTTGTTGTCGATAAGTTCATTTTATTCAATAAGTTTTGTTATAAATCTGATTTTGGATCATTCTAAATTTAATTTTGAAAGTATCACACCCAAAGATTAAATTTAAATCCATGCTTGATTGAGTGGATTTTTGGATGATATATAAAAGTTTCATTAGAAAATTTTTTCTCCTTTAAAACTTTGTTTAATAAAAAACATTTGTTTCTCAATAACATCTGCGCTAAAATGGTCTATAATTTTCAAATAGTTGAAATGGTCTCTTTCCCATCTCTCTCTCTCTCTCTCTCTCTCTCTCTCTCTCTCTCTCTCTATATATATATATATACACACGCAGATCAATTCACATTTGTTTAGCAAACAGAGAGGATACGACTAGCACTACATGCCAGATTATATATAAAATTGCAGAAAGATGCTCATTGACGAAGTTTTGATCAACCTAAACAAACAGCGAATCTTTTTTAGGGTCTTTTCACTTATTACTTAAGCATGCAATAATACTCAGCAGAAGTATTATATATTATTTTTAAAATTTTCTCAACTTAATGAAGATATGAAACATCTTAATTATTTTTAGAGATACAAGATTACTGTATCTAAATTAATTTGTTCGGCCAAAATTTATAGAACCCTCGTATATAGCTAGGATATATAATATGTTTTAAGTTAATTTCCGCTTAAAATTAAATTTCTAAAAAAAAAAATTAAAATCATATAGAGGAAGAAAACCTGCCTTCATGATGAAATCAACTTTGGCACTTGGAGAAATGCTCGCATCTTTCTCTCTTTTCACAAGCCTTGATAGAAGCTCTGCAATAAAATTCCCTCAAGCTTTTTAGGCCTTGTTGCATTTAGTTGTTGAAAAAATTAACGAAAAATAAATAAAAATGCAGTAAATAAATGCCAACCATAACGATCGCTAACGCCATGACATCTAGCAGCAAAATCCAAGGTCTCTCTTACAGTTAATTCTGGAGTGTGTATGTTATTTTGACTAATATATGCTGATGTTTTTTGAACCACAAATTCCTCCATTTTATGCCCATTGTATGTGACCATTCCACCAACCTTAAAACATATATTAATCAGTTCTTAAACATAATTAAACAGTATAAACTCGTAATTAAGAAACGATAATTACGATTTTTTTTTAATAAATAAATTGTGATTTGCATTATAACAAACCTTGAGGGTGGGATCTAATCTTCCTGCCAAGGCTTTCAAAAGTGTGGTCTTCCCAGAAGAGGGAGGCCCCAACAGAAGCGTCAACCTACAACATTCATTCACTTAGAACAGGCATTTAGACTTGGTTTAGGACGGCTTTCTTACTGCTTCTTGAAGCAGCTTTCTAGAATAAAAAAATTAATTTTTTTTTACTAAAAAACTGCTTTAAGAAGCAGTAAGAAAGCCGTCCCAAACGAAGCCTTAGTGATCTCATTAATTATTCACTTCAGACTAAATTTGATAAATAGCTACAAATCAACTTTTAATCATCTCTAACCAACTTAATTATGATCAACTCATGAGTAACTATGTTAGAATTTTAGACTTTTAACTATAAAGTTTTTAAAAGTAATTAAAAGTTTCATTTACCTTTGTTATCTTGCTAGTTAAATTATAATCATCTTCTCTCTTTTATGAATTAATAAGTTAGCTTGTTAGTTGACTAGATGATCTCATAGAATTAAGCTCGAGTCGAACTTAATGAATAATCAAGCTAGTTTAAACTTAAAATGGAAATAACACGATTGGACTTTTTTACACACAAAAAAATGCTTACCTTGATGGCTTGATTACACCTGAGATATTATTGAGAATATGAAGCCGAGTTCGCTTTGCGAGTCTTATACCAATTGCGCCCAATGTTGACTCAATCATATTTTGTGTGGCATTAATAAGTGTAGGTAGAGCTCTTCTTCCTAGGTGACACTCGGTCTCCACAGTAAGGTGCTCGAACCTCACCTCAACGGTCGGTAATGAAAGTCTACCCCTACACAAAATAGATGAATATTTTATCAAATTTATATGACAAATATATATAATTTTCTTATCAAAATATATAGAGTACGTATTAACATATATACCAATTATCCAATTCATTTTGAATGACTATGATTAATCCTAATTATCTCATTCAAAACCATTATATTTTTAAATGATTTTGAGGGGAAAAAAAAGCAAATTAAGTCATACAAGAGGATTGATAATTAATGGAGATATTTAAATCCATCATTTTATAGTAGAAAATAGTTATCTTATAGCATTGATAATTTAATAGCTCCAATTTCAGGCTTTTTCCACTCCATGATTGTTTGAAACACACAGCTCAAGATTTTATTTTATTTTTTCCGAAAGGGTCAAAATATCATTTTAAAAATAAGAAATTATATATATATATATATATATATATATCACACAAATTTTTTTTTTCAAAAAAAAAAAAAAGCTTACTTTTCGCTGCGATTCCTAAGCACCTTCTCCTCCACCTCCATGGCTTCACGAGTAAAGTCCCGCTGCTCAGCATCACCGACTTTACGGTCGCCAGCCGCTTTGTCGTCAACCGTGGCAAATTTGTAAATTCCTGATCCAAGCCGGGTGTAACTTGGAAGGCTCCGTGGTGAAATACCCTCTTGTGCATGCCTGAAGCTTCTATTGCTCGATCCTCTGCTAGTAGACCTCGCAAAAACGTTCTCCATTCTTCTCCAGCTTCTGCTTCAGCTCTCTGCCTTCTTTTATCATATATATATATATATATGCTTATGCCGTCTGCTTGCTTTATTTGGAGTGAGCATACATACAAATTTTCATATGTGTAGGTCAACGGCCGGTTTAAGGAAATGATATTTAACTATTTATTTGACCATATCCTATTATTAGGAGAATTGGTCAAATGTTGGCAAAGGATCTTCATACATAGTCAAACCCAGTGCAAGGGGGAAAACTATTAGGTGCGGACACCGGACTTAGAGATACGTCTGGACATCCACTTAAAATTTGACACGTGGAGTGCACTATTGTTGTGCTTTTTTGTACGTTTTATCTGTGTTTTAACTATATTTTAGTTGCACTTTAATTGTGTTTTGACTGCTCTTTTGTTGCGTTTTTTTACTGCACTTTATCTACGTTTTAGTTGCACTTTTGTTGAGCTTTGACTGCTCTTTTGTTGCGCTTTTTCTCTGTCTTTGGTGCGCTTAGCTTAAAATTTCGCTCACACATTAAATATAAAAAGAAAAAAATAAATCAAAAACGTACAATACACATGTCAAATTTTAAATGGATATCCGGACATATCTCTACGTAAGATTTAAGGGGTTTAAATCAGCTTGAGTGGTTCAAAATTTTTTTTTTTAAGATAATCTAAAAAATAATGAATCGCAGTTTCATTCTTCTTTTTTTCTCTTGAAAATCTCATATTAAATTTTAATTTAATTATTATTTTATGATTGAGTGTTTTGGGTTAACGTTGATCAACCACGACATATATATTTTTCTGTGTCATTTCAGATCATCAAGTTCAGATTTAGTAGAATCGTGTTTGGGTTGAGGTTCTCATCACGTTTGATAACAAATTTGATTCAAGTTCAATATCTTCATGTCAGATCATTTTTGGGTCTTTCTTCGAAAAATAAAATAATGTAAATTTTCCTTTTACACTTCTTGTTTCCTCTTCCTTGGATTTGCTAAGTCAAAAATGGCGTAATGTGTGATTTTGAAATATATGTTCAATAGGGCTCTTGTTAAATAAATTAGAGTTTTAGTCATCTTGAATACAAGTAGGATATTAATTTATTGATATATTAGCTATATATTGTTATGCACAATATATTAATTTATACTATTCCATAAATATTTTGTACAAATTAAACTATCCGACAACGCACAAAAACACACAAATTTTCCAATGATTTAATTGCAGTGAAAAGTCAACGATTATTTCTCTTACACAACCCTTTATTTCTTTTATAAAAAAAAATATAAGGAAATTGATGAAGGCAGTAGAGTTCTCTAAATGGCTTTAACGAAACGCTCACAATTATTTACATTTTGGGACATCATAACCTCTGATTGAGGAGCAATTATTACGTCTGGTGAAATCCGAATGTATACCGAGTCTTCAATATCGAGTTTTAGGTGACGTGGCGCGTGGTTATTGGTCTTTGAACACATTCGATGACCGGACATAATAATTGCTCCTGATTGGGACCCCCCTATCCCCATTCAACCTATGTTGCCCATCATAGATATCAATATTCATATTAAAATACTAAATGCTTAATTGAAAATATAATAACTTTTTTAAAAAAATAGAGTGCTAACATAATATTATTTTCTAGGGTTTCAGTGTTAACTTTCTTCTAAAGTTATTACTCATAATTGTGGAGCCATGTTCACATAGATTTTCAAATGCATCGTAAAATGCTTGTTATCAAAGTTGTTCTACTTGAACTTAACTTTAACATTTATCATGTTTCATACAGGACTAAAATATTTCTAATATTCAGTTAAATACATTTCTTATACTTGATTTATTTCTGTCACACCCATCTAAATGTCATCAGAAACATATATCAAAATTCATGCCCTTATAATTCCATATGTTAGCTTATCAAAAAATAAATCATTATGACTCACAATGCTTAACACATATCAAATAGGCCAAATTTTGAAAAGGAGCGTATTTGACTTGATTATAAGCTAAAGGATCATAATGGGCGAAAAATTTTAAAAAGGAGCAAACACGGAGGATGAAATTACGGTTTATTGAAACTGTATTTTTAAAATGCAGTTCGAAAGAAATCGGACCTACAAAATCTAGTTTCTGTAGAAATCAGATTATAGAAGTCCGATTTCTTATATTGTAATTTTTTTAATAAACCGTTAATTAATAGAATTGATTTAACAAAACTCATCATCTGAAAATGAATTTGAATTAATGATAAATTCTTATTGAATGGTGAAATGAGGTTGTAGTAAATTGGGGCTGGACAGCGACGTGATTCATGCTCGTATCGGTCTAACGAGCTCCTTATTTGGGGGGTAAACAACGAGTCTCCACCATCAAGCCATGTGCTTACATCAGTTGAATGCTTATTGAATAGTGAAATGAGGTTGTATTAAATTGATGTGATTAAACCCTGGATGGGCAGGCCAAGAGCACATCTTAACACCCCATTGAAACACTCTGAAGCATTCACCGTCATGATTCCGTAACGACACCCACGTACTATCATGCAAAAAGCTCCACTTATTAATGTCTCTCTCAACCAACCATTGATGTGCTTCATGTTTGATATTATTTATTTCTGACATTAGTCTATTGAATGTTGAAAGGTCATCTGTGTTTCCAGCCAAGTACATTTTCTCACAAACACTATTTAAGTATGTAACTCCAATACGTCGAATGAATTTCTTAAAGTTCTCTCTAAGATGACGTAAGCAGTGTTGGTGTGCTGCATGAGGGAAAACTTCTCGATACCCTCTCACTATTCCAAAGTGTTTGTCAGATACAAAACAGATATCTTGTCGTCTTGGGACTACTGGAATAAGGTCATGTAGCAATTGCAAAAATCAGACCCATGTCTCATTTGACTCAGCCTCCACAATATCAAATGCGAGGGGATATAAGCCACCATTCCCATCAATACCAACTGCGGCTAATAGAGTCTCCCTATACTTACCCAATATAAATGTCCCATCCAAAATAAGAACCGGACGACAGAATTTCCATCCCTCTATCGTTGGACCGAATGCCCAAAACACTGACTTGAATCGATTGTTTCCAATAACTTGTATGCGATGAACTGATCCTGGAAGTGCAAGTCTAATGGCCTGAAGGAACTGATGTAGTGAGGAATAAGACTCCTCAAAACTACCAAATACTGATTTAATGGCCTTCATACGGGCATCCCAAGCCTTGATATAAGGGATCTTAATATCAAATTTAGACTCCATCCGAGCGATGATCTCACATGGTTTCAAGTATTTATTGACAAAGAATAGTAGTGATGTAGTAAGAGATGAACTTCAAGTTATAGTTGCGATGGCCTCTAGACATTATATGATTTGAGCACCTAAGTCAGCTTGGTGACGAAATGCATGGTCACGGACCAAATCATGCCCAGGCAATGATGCATCAAATTCTTATACAATTAGATTTATGTCATCACCTGCAGGCGTTCCACTTGAGCTCTCACTACTTCCGTTGTCCATCGTAAGCTATTGGTGTGCCTTCACCCTCATGTTCCTGTAGAAGTAGTTGACTTTGTTGGTGGAGGTGAAATGTCGGTGCACTAGATGGACGCTCACTCATACTTAAGCGACGGACACTTATTGGTTCATTTTGTGTTGAACGTTCGTAAACACTAAAGCGGCGAGGTTCATCTATAATAGTAGGTACTATAGTGGGCCTATAACACAAATTAAATATAATAGTGAAGCTTAAATTATAGCATATTAATGTAAATAGAAAAAAAATTGAGTTTCAGCAAATGAATGTTTGGTTTGTACGAACCTTTCTGCATGGAAAGATAGTATTGGTTCTTGATAAGAAGAACGGTGGTGATAAGTCAGGCTTATGCCTCGCCTATGAACTTATTCAAATTGAACATAAAGAAGTAAAATCCTCCTTCGAGCTTCATTAAGTACGAACTCACATATTTCATCATCAGTCACTTGAATTGCTGTATATCCTCCATTATTAGGAAGACGACATACAAGGTCAACCCGACATGTTTCATTATCATGGTGTAATACTTGAATAATTCGATCATGTAATTCTTGAAGTGTAATATTCTCATTTATTTCAATCGGATGATTCCTTCCACCAGTATACGAAGGGATAGAATCCTTCGTAATGTTTAGATAACCATCATAATATAGAATGAAACGTGACATTAATGAGATTGACGTTGGAAGGGGTAGGCCCTATACAAGACATCAAACGATTCAATAGGTCTTCGTCATGACTATTTTCTTTAAATCACCATGTCAAAATTATATTTGTAATCAATGAAAAAGTACTAGAATTAATACAATTATAGTGGCTAGGAAGATTCAAATTGAAAAGCTATCCATAGTAACAGATTTTATGATTTATTGCTCATCATTCTCAAAATAAATATTGATAGCACAGATAAGATTTCACATATTTCTATCTATTTGCACTCATCGATTTCGTCAGTCAATCCAGCCACTGAGCAACATACAACTTGGGCTAAGTTTATTTACACTTGTTTTATTGCCTTCATTTACCTTCAGGCATTCATTAGGCTAAGAGACATGCAACAACAAGTTTCAATAACTATCAAATATCAACAAGAACAATTGATAAAATCAGAAGACGATGAATGACAAAGAAGATCAAACAGTGTAATTATCATTAAGCAACAACACAAGTTTTGTGGTATATCTATTTTTATTTCATTTTCAAATCTTTTATAATCAAATTTAACATTTATTATTAATTAAATATCATAATGAAATTAATTCTTTATACTGTACATACTATACTTATATTTATTCTTCTTTATTAGTTTTTGATACTATTATAATATAAATTTCTTTCTATATTTTATTATTAAGTATATTTTATGAATATATATTTTTGGGTCAATATAATATATAATGAAATGATATACATTATATTATTTGTTCATATAATTATTTTTATTCATATTATAATAATAATTTCTATTTTATTTATATAACACACTTATTCAATTGTATCTAATATATTTAAT